ATTCTTTCTTTTTCTTCTTCTCCTCTTTTCTATTTAGTTTAAATTCGGTTTTTCATGATATTGAATCTCTGTTTTGAATCGTAAATGAAAATGAGAAGAAGTATTTTCTGATTAGAAATAACCTAAATTCCTAATTCAATCGGTTACTTTTCTTGAATTTTGTTGAAATTTGGAATGTGCGATTGTAGTTTCTGTTTTAATAAAATTCACAATCTAGATTTAGATTACTGTTTGGATTATTTTCAAATTGAATTAGATGGATTGAAAATTCTTATTTGTTGTGAACAATGATGATTGTACCGTAGGAATTGAAACCTTGAACCGAATTTCTATACTACTGAAATTTTGTGTTGATTTGATTTCTTTGCTTTCTTGATACTTTGTTCTAATTGTTTGCTTGAAAATTTCCTCCCCCGAGTTCTAAACTGAATTACATACATGATTAAATTCAAAATACAATGTGCTTGTGTCCTTGAGAGATGACCTAGGTTAAGTTCTCTATATTACAAAAAATTGTTGAGGAACCTAGAATTGTTTGATAGTGATACGACTGAGCTATCACTGTGTTGATTTGTGTTGTGAATTTATAACTAGAAGAAAGGTGTTGTTTTAAATATTGAAACTAATGTTGGGTCAAGTTATTATTTTTGTGACCTATTGAGTAAGGTATGAAATCAAATGATAAAAAGTCTTTAATTAATTACTAGAAGGGTGCAGACCCACACCCAAGTTATGTTATACCTGATGATTGATACTGGAATTTTCTAGTGTAAGTGATAAAATTTGATAAATCACATTGTGTTGTGGATTAATATGCGAATTTTTTGTTGACCTAACAAGCCAAAAAAGATGAGGGGTTGTTAAGTTTGTTTTAGTATGGTTAAACCATTTAAACTAATAACTTGTATTATAAAAGATTTCTTAATTGAAATACGTGACGAGTTATGAAATACTATGTTGTTTAGTTGTAATTTTGCTTAGCTATTATGTTGATGAATTGTGTTGTAAGTTGGAAATTTGCCATGTTGGGCAATTATATAATTGTTTTGTTGTATTATTAAGTTACAGTGTTGGTTAAGTTGTGTAGAAATCTAATTTCGTCAAAACAAGTAAACTGAGAAATAAACTTCTATTTTGTGAAGAAAAGGAGCTCCCAAGCATGGAAACAACATGGCATGACATCATAAGGCCTAAAGTCCAAGAAAGACTGATTTAGAAGCCCAGAACGGGCTGTTCCAAATCCGGAACGGCCCGTTCCTAAAATGGAACGGCCCATTCCAGACCACTAAAAAATGTCTAAAATTCTATTTTGGAACGGACCGTTCCAGAAAAGGAATTTACGTGTTAAAATCAACTCCAAAACGGGACGTTCTAAAATAAGAACGGGTCGTTCCAGATATAAAATAACACATAACTAATTGATCTAGAATGGCTCGTTCCACATTCGGAACAGCCCGTTCTGGCACTTCTGATGTCCATAAATAGCGGACTTAGACAATGTTTGCCAGGTTAGAAAAATTGATCCAGAATTCCATACATTTCGAAATTTCTCTCCCTCTCTCTCTTTTGTATTTTGTGTAGTGTAAAAGGTTGTCATAAAACACCTATCTACATATTTATTTGAAGATTCTATACAGCTTGTCTAAGAGGTATTTCAATTAATTTTCTTCTCTCCTTTCTTTTATTTTCTTATCTTTAATAATACTGATATGGTAAAAACAATCATGTAAACATCCTAGGAGCAACTGTATAATTTAAATTTCAAGCATGTAAATAACTATTAATAAAATGGGATTAAATACTTAATTTGTTATTCTTACTATGCTAACTTCCCTACCCGTAATCGACCTTCGAACCCCATTTTAGTTATCAAGGTTATGATTGGATCTTTTTAAAATTCTTTTTTTTAATCTTTTTTAATGTTTTGAATAAAATATTAGTGGCGAAAAAGTAACTTTTATTCCCATGAGAAAATAAGATACTAACCTTTTGTCATGAGAACGACCAAGGATTGATTTAGAGACTTATGAAAGGGAGACAATTTTTTTTTCCTTTTTAATTAGTATTTTAGTTTGTACATTTGATAGGATAAATGTTTTTTAAGTATAACTAAAATTTATAATAAATTATATATAAAAATATCACTATATTTCAATATATAATAGATTAAAAATTTTATAATATGTATTTTAATATATAAATTATATTTTAGATTTAAGATAAATAATTTATATTGCAGTACAAAATTTATTTTAAAATATATTAAATTTTAATTCATAAAACAAATATGAGATTCAATTAGATAAGAAGTTGAAAGAATTCTAAAAATTTATCTATCAAATAATAGTCTCTAAAAATATTTTTGTACAACATAGTTGTGTGCGCGTTATTTAATTCAATTTTGCTTAGAAAAAAAACATAGTTGTGTGCGTTTAATATATAAAAATTGATTATTTAACTATTTAACTTATTATTATATAACATTAGTTTAAGTTTACAAATAATAAAATTCAGTAGAACTCCACAATTTTGCAACATTTTTAACCATTAGCATGTAATTGTTTTTTTAAATTTCGAAATGTATAAATTTTTAAAAAAATTAAAATAAAATTAATCATGTTTATAAAATCCGACTTTTAAAATGGAAGTTACTTTTTGGAAACACGACTTCTACTTAAAAAAAAACTAAAATCATGTCTCCAAAACATGATTTCTTTATTTTTTTATTTTAGGTAAAAAAAAATATTATTTTAACAAAAAAATTAAACTTTATAAAACAAGATCTTCATTCGAAAGTTGTGTTTCACAAACACGACTTACCTATTTTAAAATTTTCAATTTGTCGTGCCAAGCATGTGAAATAGGCTGAGAGTAACTCTACATAAGTTATGTTTTTTTTAGGGATTAGATTAGGTCATTTTATGTTTTTTTCTAGCGGAACCTTAACATGTTTGGTTCATAGGGTCAGATAAAAACATATTCTCTTTATTGGGTGTAAGCTAGGGATGGCAACGAGGCGGGGCGGTACGGGTTTCATGATACCCGTCCCTGTCCCCGCAAGCCAAACTCATCCTCGTCCCCGTCCCCGTCCCCGTACCCGTCAGTTATGTGATTTTCATCCACATCCTCGTCCCCGTCGGGTATACCCGTACCCGTATCCGTACCCGTCAAAATTTTTATTTTTTATTTTTATTTTTAAATATAATATTTTTAAATTATTTTTTTAATTATATTATAATTATAATTAGGTTATTTCTCTATGTCATATTATAATAAATAATCACACATAAAAAATATTAAAATTCTTTAATATAATTAAATTGAAAGTGAGTATTAAATTAAAAATGGGAATGGGGACGGGTACGGGTACGGGGCGGGTAAGTACATACCCGTACCCGTACCCGTACCCGATTTAATATATCGGATTTTACCCATACCCGTATCCGTACCTGGTCAAACCGGGTATTTTTCGTCAAAGTCGGGACGGGTTCAGGTATTACCGGCGGGTATGAGTATATTTCTCATCACTAGTGTAAGCTTGCTTTACTTGGCAGGTGGCACCAAATTTAAATTAGGCACTACACTTCCATTTGCGACTCGGTGGGCTTTACTTCGCCATAGGCCCATACCCAATTTTCATTCTATTCATCACCCAACTCAACAATCAAACCAAACCAAACCATTTCAGGTACGCCTTCTAACTTTTAATCGCTTCTTATATTTTCCCCTCTTTTCTAATTAGTTCAAATTTTAGTGCTATATGGTGTTTGTGAAATTGAAGATGATCGCCTATGTATATGTATGTGTTACTTTGAACTTTGGGGGCTCTGATTTTTCTTTCCCTAGAGGCCCCATCAGGTGTTTGTGAAAATGCTGTAACGAGGAAAATAGTTTGACATGGTTTAATATTTCCGTTGTTGCTTGTTCAAGATTGTATGAGTAGGACGCTGGGTTTTTCACTTACATGGCATCATAGGAATGGTGGAAGTTCGTTGGAAGAGAGTATTTTGAATTTTTTGTTTTGGTAGCATAAGTTTGGGGTGGGTTATGTTATGTTATTGCTAGCCAATGGGAAAGGAATCTGGTTAGCATTCTCCTATATGTACGCAAATGGAGTCTATGAGATTTGGTCTCAACTTTAATTGTTAAATTTACGTTCTGTTAGGGTAAACTCTCAATAAATAGAAGTTAGAAAGTTTGAGAGTTTCTCTACGAAAATAAAGTTTTTTTTTACGGTAGAGAAGTTTTTAGAAACAATTCTAACTTGTATCTAAACATACTCAAAATGAATTGAGTTTCTTCCATAAAATAAAATCAACTTATGCTCAGTTTTGTGAAAAGTTAAATGAGAGAATTTCTATAAAAGGTGTTTGAGCACTCAAAAGTCTCTTAAAAATTTACACGTTACAGATATCTATTGATATATACAAATAGTATATATTTTCTCATTGCTTTAACTATTCCTATCGAGTTTTTAAGTTCACAACCTCCCCTCACTAATGGTTTCAGATTGCAACAAATACCCAGAAGTGGTACGATTATGGTCTGTTGCTTGTGATGTTTAAATACCTGTCTAATGGGGCAATAGTTCTGGGCTTTATTTTGGATAAAAACCTCTGCTAAAATGCTATGAATATTGAATAATGAGATAAGGTTTTTCCCTTAGAACTAGTGGTGATTGAACAGTCTGCCATAATTTAAATCTTTTCATTCTTTGAGTTTTGATTGATCTTAATTATTAATATTTTTCTTTCTTAAATTAGAGAGTTTGCTATGGTTGAAGTGAATATTTATAAGATTAGATACATGATATTTTATTTTATACCTGCTACTGAACGGGTTGGAAAATGATCTACAAGACTACAACCAAAGCTCAAATCCTTTGTCTTCAAAAAAGAAAAAGAATGATTCATATGCAAAATTTGTGGATTTTTGGCAGCCTTAGATGACATCAAGATTTTGGCACTGACATTAGTTATTCTTATTTGCCATATTTTCAGGGTTTTGTTCGTTTTGGTACAAGTTTTCTTATTTCTTATCATCTACCTATCATCATTGACAAACAACAATGACCACCTCTTTCCCTCGCTCAATGTCCTGTATAGCCAACACTGCTCTTCACCACACCAAATCTGAGCAGCTGAGACATTTTGTTTCCAACTCAGTTTCACGGCTCCTCTGCACTTCTTCGACTCAGCCACAACGCGAAAACCCTATCAACGAACAAGCACAGGCACCTCAAGAATCTCCCCATGATGAGAGCAAACAAAGCCATGAGCCCAAAGAAAAGGATGAAGATAACGATAGTTATAACAAAGAAACAGGTGAGATAGGTGGACCCAAAGGGCCCGAGCCCACTAGGTATGGTGATTGGGAACGCAATGGTCGCTGCTCTGATTTTTGAGTTTTTACTGCACTCTGTATATCATAATAATACACAATAATAATAAGTTCGATTAGTAATTGTGTGATTGTTCTGTTCAGTTCTGATTGCATGACTGTAAGTGATGATTATGTAATAGTGTTGTTGTCTTTTGATTCATTAGTCATTACTATTATGCAGTTAAAATTGAGTGAATTGGAATAAAGAGCTTGCTGCTTGCATATTCCCAACACTGAATTGATGATTTGATTTAGCAATTTTGGATTATAATTAGAAAGTTGATTGAATTTAACTTTTTGAACTTAACTTTAGTTAAAAGTGAGTTTAAGTTAACTTGATTTATGCTTGGATATCTTTTATCTTAAAAGTATTTTTAGCAAATAAAATTTGTTTAGATGATAATAATTAAAAGTACTTTCAAATGTATAATTGTTAAAATGGGTATGAATATAATAAAATATGAATGTTATTTTTTTTCATTATTTTTTAGTTATATTTGAATTGATAATATATTATTATTATATAAAAGATGGTGATAATATTATAAATAAAGATTACTAAATTTAGTTTAATGACGGGTTAAAATAAGAAACAAGACAATTTAAATAATTTTTAATAAATTAAACTTCTTAAAGTTAAATAGGACAAATCAAAGTTTCTTTCTTACTCTTTCAACTTTTTGTTTCACAAAGCAATATATACTATAGAGAAGATTGGGAACTTGGTAAAGGGGAAGAGGCGTTTTGAGAACTTTCAAATCAAAGTATGTAGCTTTGTTCATACTGTGATGCTTTTATAGTTTTTTTTTTATTTGTGATGAATATTGTAAAAGAGAGTTTAATAACAAATAGTTAATGTGAATCGACTATTGGTAAGTTGAATTTTATCTATTTTCTAAATCTTGTTTACATGATCTAAGCCTTTAAGCTTTGCTCAAACTTTTAAAAGGCCTCATATGACCTGAAAGCTTATTTGAAAGTTTACTGTAGTTAAAAAATATTAAATAAGGTTACACATACATCTTAGACCTAATCAAAACTTCTCGATTTGTCCGAATCCGTGAAATCTAAAAGTAAAAAATGAAAAATCAGATGTTTAGAGTTCGGGTTACGGGTTTGAATGGTTTAAAAAAAATGATGAATATGGTTAAATGCTGTTAGTTTTGGATTAGAAAAGAATGAAATCGTCAGTACCTGAAACCAGTCGCTTCTCTTCATCTTTCTTTTCCCTTGAAAGCACTTTTTCTCCTCTCTTCTTGTTCCATCTTTCTCTTCTTCTCAATTTTATTTTTCACTTCTTCTCTCTACTGCTTGATGCTTCTTCTTCTTTGTTGATGGGTAGGTTTTTCTTTTTCTCTTCTTCTCTTTGCCACTTCTTCTTCTCCACGGTTGGGTATGTCTTTCTTTCTCTTCTTCTCTTCGCCACTCTACCACTCCTTCTTCTTTGTTGATGCAAATGAGAAATCTTACTTCTAATTCATAAAAATATGAAACAATTTTTTGTTGTTTTTGACTAAACATCCATTTCTTCAGAAGCTTTGAACACCAACACAAATACACACTAAGTAGGTTACAGAGCTTATATTTATATGTAGTTTAATAAGTTTAAGTCTTAAAAAAATAAATAAGTATATAAGTGTTTTGATGTGGATTAGGCAGCTTTTAATAATCTCTGACTTATTTTCATCATTGTTTATTTTTCTTTATCGTTTTTGAGTCAGAAATATTCAACATGGACTTGATCAGCATTCCACCAAGAGTCTTGCATGTTACAAGGTGTGGCATGGTTCAATATATTAATTTGGTTATTAACCAACAATTGTATTTTATTTATTAATTTAGTTCTTGTATATTGTGAAACTCCAATTCATTAAATAAGAACCTTCAATATATTTTTTCTTTCTTATTTATTAATTTGGTTCTTCTATATAGTTTTGAATTTCATAAAGATTGTCTCTCCTTATTTAATTTCAACATTACAAAACCAAGCCATACAACGAACAATACAGCCACAATGCATAGCTCATCCAAATTGGATATATACTCACTTAAAACAAATGAGAATTACATCAAGTTGTTTTTCAGAAATGTTTTTTGCACGTGGTTTTGATCCTGTATTGAGCCATTTAAAGCACCTAGTCAGAATATCTTGTTTCCTCTCATCTATGACCCTCTCTTTCTTCCAAGTTGGGCCGTGTTTGGTTTGTTTTCTCGACTTTTTGGTCATAATAAATAAAAAAAATAAAAAAAATATTTATCAAAATAATTTATTTTAGTCACGTAGGATGATGATGAAGAAAACGTCATCATATATGATGTGAGGCCCCGTTTCTTTCCTTTCAACTTTTCCCTTCACTCTCTTCTTCTTCCCCATTCATACCTTGTTTTCCTTTCTTTGACCATTGGTGACTTTAGGTGCTGAACTAGAGTCGGGTGGTGCTAGCTGAGTGCTCAGAATTTTCTCTCTTCTTCTCCTCCTTCATTGTTCAAGCTTTTTGGTGAGACCCCGTACGGAATTGTCTTTCTTTTCCCTAACTCTCTAACCCTCATTTCTCTTTGCTCACTTCTTTGCTTGGGACCCTTCTTTTTGGCTGATTCAACGTGGCAGTGCGGAGTAACTGAGGATTCCTAGCTGAGTTTCGGACCCTTCTTTCCTCCTTCTTCGGATTGTTCAATTCTTCTTCAACCCTCTTCTCCATTTTCTTCATCCCGAAGCTCGGAATCTTCTACCGAGGTAAGGGAAGTTAGTTTTACTGTAATTTGGCTGAAAACGAGCTCTAGAAGCTCAGATTGCCGGTTGATGATTGATGTTCCGGGATTGTGATTGCTAAAAATGAACTCTTGGGGGTTTTTGGGGTTCTTTGAGAAATTTGGGTTTTTCTCGATTGATGCATGCATGGGTGAAAAGGTGGTATTTTTGGACTCTATGATGAAAAGGTGGTATTGTGGCTGGTTTGCATGTGTTAGATATGTGGAATTTTGCAGGTTTTGGATGAAATCTTCGAACTTGGGGAAGCTGCTATTGTGTTTGCGTCGGGCGTTGTTCTTCGCGCCGAGCGCGATGACAGTGGTGACACATTTTCTGGTGCCGCGTTGGGCGCATGTTTCACCTCGCTGGGCGCGGAGGCTCCTTGGGAGTCTTTACCAAGAGGGCACTGGGCGCAATGCGAATTGCGCCGAGCGCGAGACCCTGTTAGGTCTCTGCCTTCCCCATGCAGCGCGCAGGTTAGGCTATGCCAGGCGCGTGAGGTCTCTGAATTGTGTGTGGGTTGCCCGGTTGTGGTGAATGAGAAGAAGTACAAGGTGAACCTGATTTGTTTACCTTTGGTGGATATTGACATAATCTTGGGAATGGATTGGTTATCTGTCAATTGCATTCTAATAGATTGTGCCAATAGACGGTTGATCTTTCCTCAGGAGGAGGATAAGGTGTTGATCTCAGCTGGCCAGGCTGAGTCATTGTTGAGAGATGGAGCAGAGTGTTGTCTTCTGCTTTCTGCAATGAGTGCGGAGACCGAGAGGGTCTTAGCTGATATCGATGTGGTGAGGGAGTATACCGAGGTGTTCCCTGATGAGGTGCCTGGGTTGCCTCCTGTTAGGGAGATGGAGTTCAACATTGACTTGGTTCCAGGTGCGGGACCAGTGTCAGTGGCTCCCTATAGGATGGCTTCTGCTGAGCTGGTTGAGCTGAAGGGTCAGTTAGAGGACTTGTTGGAAAAGCAGTTGGTGCGGCCGAGTGTTTCGTCGTGGGGTGCTCCGGTGTTATTAGTAAGGAAGAAGGATGGAGGTAGTTGACTGTGTGTTGATTACCGGCAGCTGAACAAGTTGACCATTAAGAACAAATATCCACTTCCCTGGATAGATGACTTAATGGATCAACTGAGGGGTGCGTCGTTGTTTTCTAAGATTGACTTGAGGTCAGGATAACACCAGACTAGGGTGAAGGAGGGTGACATACCGAAGACTGCTTTCAGGACTAGGTATGGTCATTATGAATATGTTGTGATGCCGTTCGGTATGACCAACGCCCCCGCAGTGTTCATGGACTACATGAACAGGATCTTCCGGCCGTTCTTGGATAAGTTTGTTGTAGTGTTTATTGATGGCATTTTGATTTATTCAAGGACCCGAGAAGAGCACGAAAGGCACTTGAGGACAGTGTTGGAGATTTTGAAAGTGAAGCAGCTATATGCTAAGCTTTCAAAATGTGAGTTCTGGTTGGATGAGGTGAAGTTCTTGGGCCACGTGATTTCAGCTGAGGGGATTGCTGTTGATCCGGCTAAGGTGGAGTCGGTGTTGCAGTGGGAGCGCCCGAGGACTGTCACGGATATTCGGAGCTTTGTGGGATTAGCGGGTTACTATCGGAGGTTCATTGAAGGATTCTCTAAGATAGTAGCGCCTCTGACCCAGCTGACTAGGAAGGAGCAGCCATTCATTTGGACTGATGCTTGTGAGCAGAGTTTTGTTGAGCTGAAGAGGAGGTTAACTACTTCTCCTGTGCTGGTGTTGCCGGATTCTGGTGAGCCTTTTGACGTGTACTATGATGTCTCTCATCAGGGTCTGGGGTGTGTGCTGATGCAAAACAGGAGAGTGGTGGCATATGCTTCAAGGCAACTAAAGATTCATGAGAGGAACTACCCCACTCATGATTTGGAGTTAGCAGCTGTGGTGTTTTCCTTGAAGATCTGGAGGCATTATTTGTATGGTGCTCGATTCAGCGTCTTCAGTGATCATAAGAGTCTGAAGTATCTGTTTGATCAGAAAGAGCTGAACATGAGGCAGAGGCGGTGGATGGAGTTTCTGAAGGATTATGACTTTTAGTTGATGTATCATCTGGGCAAGGCCAATGTAGTGGCTGATGCGCTGAGTAGGAAATCCATCCACATGTCAAGTATGATGATGAGGGAGTTGGAGCTGGTTGAGGAGTTTAGAGATTTGAATCTCTGTGTGGATTTAGCTCAGGATGACATTAGTTGTGGGGCGATTACCATAAGGAATGAGTTCTTGAGGCAGGTTGGACTCAAGCAGTTGCAGGATGAGGAGTTGGTGAGACTTCTTGGTTTGTTGGGTACCGAGAAAGTTGCTGGTTTTGAGCTGGGAGAAGATGGGATTTTGAGGTTCAGAGGCAGAATTTTCCTACCTCAGGATGCTGAGCTGAGGAGAGCTGTATTGGAAGAAGGTCACAAGAGTAGACTTAGCATACACCCGGGTATGACTAAGATGTACCAGGA